AGCTTCCTCACTATCAGCAAGTTCCCACAGGCGATGGAATAGAAAGTTCTAAATTTATTAAGTTCTGGTCCCATCTTCTCCGGAAAACCCGAAAGCTCCTCTTTGTGGCGATAATACCAGGCATATGGGCATCAGTGATCCACAACAAGGATCTTCCAGGTGATGGATGCGTAACTTTTGACAACCGTGAGTTGTGTGTGTGAATCAAGTGGTATAAGCTATAGCTAGTATAGAACAACCTTGACTGCTTGCTTTAGGAGATGGCACCTATTATATCTATGATAAATAAAGTGTGCCAGGGGCCATCGAACATTTTTCAAGTTAAACGATTTAACTGTTTTTCCAACCTCATGTACCCGACATAATCAATAATAACAATATCATAGCTAAGTTAGTCGAATTCACCAATAAATCAGGGGAAACAGGCAGTTATTAACTTAGCAGTTCATATTATGTTGGCATTTTGTATTACCGGACTACAATAATCTCTGTACACATAGGGAGCTTTTAGCAGCTTGAACAAGTCTCCTCCATTTAGCAAAAAGGAAAAAGGGAGAACTGAAAAAAGTGAATCTTTGCAGACAGCAGAGAATTTTTTCTACTCAAGTTTCACTCAACCTTTCCTCGCAGGTTTTATCCTTTTCCCTGATTCTATTCTCCGAATCCAGTCGAAGGTCAATTTTGGGGCTTGATACTTGAGTTGGACCTCCAATTTACTGGTCCTACTAGTTAAGTATGGCTTGTTCTTGTCCTACACCATAAATTGCTTGCTGAAACAGATATGGAAAGTATTGGTTTTAAATCATGTTACTTGGACGATAAGGGGCCGTAAAACAACATATGATTCCAAAATATCACCAGAGAATGTACTCCTTCAGCAATAGATGCATGTGCAGCCACTTCTATCAGCTCGATATAAGTACTATCTCTGTTCCACTTTAAGTGTCGTAGTTCGGAGTACGACGGTCAAACTGACTAATGTTCGGTGTGAATTTGGACAAAGAATCTTCAAGCTTTTTGACATAAAATTTACATGGACAAAGAATCTTCAAGCTTTTTGACATAAAATTTACATATATGGAAACTACGTAAAAATTACTATAGGTCATAATAATTAATAATTCAAAACATTTTAAAAAATATCAAAATAGTAAATGTGTCACATAAAGTGGAATAGAGGGAGTATATATCTATATAGTCAGCACTCATTGTCACAAAAGAACAATGGGCGTTGTAAAACTCCGCATACACCGACTTAAAATCTTGATCCGCCTGCTTAGGCAACATTAGGAGTTAACTGATCACAAGAGGTTCGATCTTTACAATGTCTATAGTTGGAAAAAAGGAGGGTAAAGTAGAAAATTTGACCTGTTCTTTAGTAGCAGAGTGAGCATTAAGTTGAAGAGCGAGAGCATTATTAGAAGCAAGGGAGTGAGCGTGGAGATGGGGAAGGCGCTGTGAGATGTCAGGAGGAGGGAGTCTGAGCCGTAGATCTTGGATCGTACCGCTAAGAGAAGTGGCCTTTCGATTCAAATCCTGAAGGTAGGTTTGTTGTTCTGGAAGTAAAGATTAAAGGGATCGAATTGGGGTTGTTGTCTTCGTCATTGCTTTGCCCGCCTCCTACTACATCTGCTGCCCATGCCAACAAACCCGCCATTTCTTCTCTGATTTTTCTTCCTAATTAGCAATAATTCCTCTAACTTTGTTCACCCTGCAGTGGAGTTTTAACTGTGTTGGCGAAAATCACAAAAGTTGTCCTTATATTTGTGTTAGGTTTAAAATAATTCCTTGAGCAGTTTGGGTCCTTTAATTTTATAAAATTACTACTTTTGATCAACCTCAAATATTTACTAATAAATTTGACGGTCAGATTTAACAAAGAATTTGAAAAGAGAAAAATATTTAACTTGATATTTGGAGAAACAATTTTGCAATTTTGACTATTTTTAATCAATTATTTTTATTTGGTACAATTTTTGCTATTTCTTTTATCTATTTTCTAATGTTTGTTAAAGCTTCCTGGATTTTATTTAGTATTCATTTTGGAAGCCTTTAGTTAGAAGAGTTGATTAGGATTTGACTTTTGAATAAACAACATCGAAATCGGGATTTGAGAGTTCCAATATGTTCGTTGATTGTGATTTTGGACTTGGGCGTATGTTAGCATTTGGATTTGGAGGTTTCTAGAAGATTTTAACTATATTGTCGAAAGTTGACAATTTAAAGAATTAGAAAGTTATTAAGTTTGACCGATAGTTGACTTTCCTAAGCTTGAGAAGCCCCGCTATGTTTCCGACTTGAACTTACCTTTAGAGCTTCCCGGGCTCTAGGCTCGGGTGGCGTCATTTCGCCTTACCAACCCCAGGGAAGAATCTCTCTACCACTTCTCTTCCACTTTGGCCAATATGAGTTCACCTGGTACTAGCAGCTTTATCGGGGAATTTCTCATCTTAGTAGGAGCTTTCCAAAGATTCCACATGGGATTGGATATCGAAGGTTCCACTTCCCCCTCATGTAGTCGTCGGCCTTCCCCAACCCCCCTCGTCGCTTCTGGCGAAGCTGCGAGTTCATGAGCAAGTGAATGAAGGAGCCATGTTCCTAAAAGAAAATGACTGCCGCATCGTTGATAAAGAACCTTGCCATCCCCAGCTTTGTCCCCTATAAGCTTGAAGCTTCCTTCGTAACTCCCGGAACTTCTTCGTAGTGGCTCCCTTACATCCCTCATTTCAGAGGGAACCTCGTCGCTTAATGCATGTAGGGGGCTGGGGCTTTTCCCCCACGACCCCTTTTAAAGGAGAACCAGAAGGACCGGCAACGATAAGGAAGGAGATCTATGGATGCCCACGGGATAAGGTTTGCAGATGCGATCATGAATCGAACCAGATCGAAATATTTAGCTGTCAACGGACAAAGCCGGAACGTCGATTCGATAGAATTGTTTAGAATCCTCTCCTAGCTTCCTCTTTCCATGGATATGCAGACTATAAAACGTCGATCAATAGTTGACTTTGAGGTTATCGGACTCCGATTTTTTAGTTAACAAAATTTGCACAATGTTCGTTCAAGGAATTATCAGAGTTTGTTATTTATTTGATGGAAACATAAAAAGTTAAAATTGCTCATTAGTATAGTTAAGAACTACATTAAACCTCAACTCAAATAGCGAACAAATTTTATCATTTTATCTTCTCAATTTGCACCAGTTGTAGATATTCTTTCACTTTATCAACTACTTAACAAATATCACTAAAAAATCAGATATAGCCAAGCAAAACTTAAGGTTAAATTACACTAAACACTCCTCTAACATAATTCAATTGCAGGTTCACGAGACCTCTTATATGTTAAATCTATATAGTCAAAGCTCTTATATAATGAAAATTATAGAGTAGAATATTAATTTGAATTAGATTTTCATAAATATTTAATTTTAAAAATATGGGTATATCCGTAACTAAGTATATATTATAACAGAATCTCTAAATAAATTAAAATTATTTAGTTAGATGAAAGTTCATTTGTCTAGGATTTTTCATTAAAGAAGAGGTTTAAGTGGTTGATTTTTTAAATATAGGAATAACACTATTATATATGTCTAGAACATATAAAGGTGTGCAAAATTTTCATTTTAAAACATACGTACAAGATATATACAATTGAGTCATACAGTATTACAAAAAAGTGTTTGAAGTAATTTATGATGTGAGTTATTGGCCAATAAAGGCCAAGCCCAATGCAACACATTTCTAAGGGTGTGGAGGTAGGAGGAAAGAAGATGGGGAAGTGCACAAATAGCAATTTTGTTTTAGGAACAATAACAACAATAACAAATTTACTGTAATTACACATAATGAGGTTTGGAGAGGGTAGTGTGTACGTAGACCTTACACCTACCTTCAGAGAGGTTGTTTCCGGAAGACCCTCGAACCTCTATTTAAAAAAGTTGAAATTTATAAATTTTTAAAGTTTAGCTGTTTCGGAATTAACTTTTGAAGTTCAAATAAAGTTCAAATAGCGTATCTGAAGTTTCAAATTATAACTTTTAGTTCTAAAAAGAAGTAGAACACGAACGGTCTAAAGTAACATGAATAGTCTGAAGTTTGCCAAAATTGGCTAAACTTGAAATACCTTTTTGAAAAACTTAATTTGATTTAAATTGAGGTGCTCAAAGCAGCTACGCGAAGTTTCAACACAAAGCTTCATAATGCAACACTAGGTTTAATATTTCTGTGTGTTGCGTGTATTCAGCACTTGCATAAGGTTCTATAAGTGTGAGTTAATCAATTCCATATTTGCAAATGATGCTTCATTTCTGTACTCTTTTCTGGTATGTCTAAGTTCGAACTTAAATCATTTCTATAAATTAAAAAGAACACTTTGCTATGTACGTTTAAATCTGGGAACTTCAACATTCCCTGTAACGTGATTTGCCTTACACGAAAAGAATTTTCACATCTAATTCTTCCTTTCTTTGCTTTCCCATTCAGCAAAAGATAACCCCATCATTTTCAACTCATCCCTTCCTTCATTAACTCAATTCCTATGGGTATCTTGCTACCACTTTCCTCAACTTATATACTCATCTTCACTTGCAATCCAACCCATTCTTACTCTTAAACTTCGGACACGATAGATATTTATTGGCACTTAGTGTTTATATACAATTAAAAAATTAATCTTAGCAGTTAAAAGTTGAACGTGTACATATCACTTAACCATAATTAAGTAATACATGTGTTTTGTATTTATTTGTTTGGTGTAAACATGTATCAATGGCTAATCCAGAGTATAATATACAGGTTTATTAGAACCCAATAGCTTTTGTCAAAATATTGTATTGTATTAAGGAAATCCACTAAATACCTTTAAATTTGACTATGAATAATATATTTACCTGAGATGGTTAAAAAATTATAAATTTTAAATTCTAAATCCCCTTTATGTGACGTACAGAAGACAGCTAGCCTTTCCCTTTTTAAACACCTCTCTAAGCAATATGCTACTTGTTCTTTTGTAATTCCATTCTCTCTCCCTCTCCTATCTCTATCTCTCGTGGGGTTTTATATATACACACACTAAAGTGACTCCATACCAGAATAGTTTCCCTTCGTATAAGGCTAAGTTACGTCATTACCTTAATGTGACACCATCAAAAAATTGTTTCTTGTTTCCTTCTGCTATCAATTTGCAAACCAATTCACTCTTTAATCTCTCTTACGTGCAGCCAAACTTGATAGGTAAACACACACTTAGTGCAATTAATCTTGTTTTTATTCAAGATTGCGCGGATAAATTTACCTATCATGGTTTTAAAGAAGATCACAAGAAGAGTCAAAACAATTGTCACAACACCTTTCAAGAAACATTCCAAACACTATAAACCTCCTCTACAACCAGAACCACCACCTCCACCAAAATCCCCTGAAATGTCTCCACTTCAACCCCAAAGTAGGCCAATTTCACAACCTTTTCTCTTTCCAACAGCAAAATCCACTGTCCTTCCTGAACCATCAACATATTTTGCTCATCATCTCTTATCAACCCCTTTGCCCACAAATTCTTTCTTTCAAAACTTTGTGCTAAAAAATGGTGATCAGCCTGAATATATTCAACCATATCTTATCGAATCATCAAATTCATCTCTCACTCTTTGTTACCCACCTCAGTTCCATAATCCTGCTTTCATTTACCAAATATTCAATGCTGATATCACTATTAGTACATTGAATAATCCAAATCTAAATGCACCCCATGTTATTTCATCATTTAGTGATCTTAGTGTCACATTGGATCTTCCATCAAGTAACCTTAGGTTCTTTCTTGTCAGGGGATGTCCCTTTGTTACTTGTAATGTCATTGGTAATGTTGCACTTAGAATTTCAACGATTCACGCGATTCTTGAATGTTCTTGGAATGCTACTCTCACCAAATATAACATTAAGCTCAACAATGGCCAAACTTGGCTTTTGTACGCGTCTTCGCCTATCAATTTGAGCAATACTGATGTGAATAATATCACTTCTAGTGAGTTTTCGGGGATAATAAGGATCGTTCTTTTGCCAAATTCTGAAAACCCGATGTATGAATCAGTTCTTGATCGGTTCAGTTCTTGTTATCCTAAATTTGGTAATGCTGTTTTCAGTCAGCCATTTAGTTTGGAGTATAAGTGGGAAAAGACTGGATGGGGAGACTTATTGATGCTAGCTCATCCCCTTCATCTCCAGCTGCTTTCGAATCGTTCAGTAATTATCTTGGAAGATTTTAAGTATAATAGTATTGATGGTGAGCTTGTTGGAGTTGTTGGAGATACATGGTTATTGAAAAGTGATCCAATTTCTGTAACATGGCATTCAATTAAAGGTGTAAAAGAGGAGTCTTGTTCTGAAATAATTGATGCTTTGAATATAGATGTCGCGGACTTGAACTCAATGTTAATCTCAACATCATCGTCTTACTTTTATGGAAAGTTAATTGCAAGAGCTGCAAGATTGGCATTGATAGCTGAAGAAGTTTGTTACCATGATGTTATACCAATGATCCGCAAATTCTTGAAGGATACAATTGAACCTTGGTTAGATGGGACTTTTGAAGCAAATGGTTTCTTTTATGATACAAAATGGGGTGGAATTGTAACTAAACAAGGTTCAATGGATTCTGGTGCTGATTTTGGCTTTGGAATTTACAATGATCATCATTACCACATTGGTTATTTCCTTTACGCTATAGCAGTACTTGCCAAGATCGATCCAATGTGGGGGAGAAAGTATAGGCCACAAGCTTATTCACTTATGGCGGATTTTATGAACTTAAGCAGGCGAGAAAATTCACATTATACGCGGTTGAGGTGCTTTGATTTGTGGAAATTGCATTCTTGGGCAGGAGGATTAACCGAGTTTGCAGATGGAAGGAACCAAGAGAGCACAAGTGAAGCAATAAATGCATACTATTCGGCAGCTTTAATGGGATTGGCTTATGGCGATACTCATCTTGTTGCTATTGGATCAACTCTTTTAGCAATGGAGATTCATTCAGCACAAACTTGGTGGCATGTTAAAGAAGAAAGCAGCATGTATGCAGAAGAATTCGCGAAAAAGAACCGTGTGGTTGGTGTTTTATGGTCTAATAAAAGGGACAGTGGCCTTTGGTTTGCTCCAGCTGAATGGAAAGAATGTAGGCTTGGAATTCAGGTTTTACCTATATTGCCTATTACTGAAGTTCTATTTTCCGATGTTCGGTTTGTGAAAGAACTAGTTCAATGGACAATGCCAGCTCTTGCAAGAAGTGGTGTTGGAGAAGGATGGAAAGGGTTTGTGTATGCTTTAGAAGCAATGTATGATAGAACAAGTGCTTTGGACAAAACTAAGAGATTAACTGGTTTTGATGATGGAAACTCACTCACAAATCTTCTGTGGTGGATTCATACTAGAGATGATGAAGCAGAGGAAGGTGATAGAGGGAACAACTTCTGCTGGTTTCGTCATTACTCTCATTGAATTTATGGTAATGTAACATTGAGTGAATTAAACAATTGTCTTTGTTACAACAAAAATTGATGTGCTAGTTTGGTAATATGGTACTTTTCATTTGTGTTGTCTGTATATAAACTACAGCTTTATGCTCTTAATATGGATGCTGTAATACTTATACAAATTGTTTGGAAATAAATGATCAAGCTTGGATTTTACAATTTTCAGACTACTGTAAAACTAAAGTTTCTTTCTTCACTAAGCCTATCCTGCAAAGGGTTTTCATGACCATGTGGCTTTATGAATGAAACTGGTCCTCTATTTATGAAGGGCAGCATTGAAGTAGCAATTTATATAACAAAATTGCTAGTAAGCTCCCGTGAACTAAAGACACAATGAAGCAAAATATATTTATGCCTTTTTTGGATTGAAGTTCAAGAAAACCGCAAAAGTTAGTAACTATGTGTGCTGGTAAAATTGAGGATAGAGTTATCCCCGATTTTCCGTTGTGAAACGAGGAACGACGTTATTTGTTACTGGCTCGGGTGAGCCCGAAGATACCCACAAATCAGAACCTAGAACGGATGAATGATATAACGGGTCTCGAGCATGGCCGAACCCGGAGGAAACCAAGCTCGAGCGAGATGAAGAATCGAGGGTAAAGGAAGAAAACGAGAAACCGAAATATCCTCCATCAGCTGAATATTGCAGCATGGATCACGCTCAATATTGGCTGCAGAGCTTATTTTCATGGGAAAGAAGGAAGGAAAAGATTTTTACTTCATTTAGACTTATACTAGGGTTAAATCTCCTCTACTATATAAAAGGAAGGACCCCTTCATTTTTCGGACGAACTTTTTCAAGCATAACAAGGCAATAAAATTTACTTTAGCTTTCAGCAAATCGTTTCAAGCGTTCTTCAGTTATTTACTCGTTTATTCGATTCCGAGCTTTATCTCGAGGGCTCAATAGAGAGCAATCATTGGCATTTAAGTTAAACGCAAGGCTTAGAAACTGCGTCACTTTGGTTTGATCATTTCATCTTCTTTCAATTCAATTATTTACTGTTCCTTGATCATTTGTGTTAAATTAAATCGCATATCCTTTAAACCGCGTACAAATTTAATTGTTATCCATTTTAGGGGTAAACAGTTTAGCGTCCACGGTGGGGCTAAGGACAATAGTGGTGATTTAATACGAATCTTGATAACGCACACTATTTTACACTTGTTCTTTGAAGTTTGATTTTAGGGCTATTAAATATATCAGATTCTCAATCTGCTCACTTAAGTGTTGACACTGAATCAGGCCATCATGGTGAAAATAACAACAGGGTCTGTCACGCCCCGACCTTGAAGAGCAGAATCGGCCCTCGGCTGAGTCGTCCCAGTCAAGCAAGCCTACTTAGTGCCTAGCATTCCACCTTACCAATGAATAATTTGAGGATAAATATAAAGAGTTAAACCGATCGAGAGAATAGTGTGTACAATACCAACTTTCATTCTTACAAAAACTTCATTTACAATTACCAAAATATTTAAAATTCATAGTTAAAAGAGAAAACATCCAACAATTTCAACAACGTTTTTAGTTAGTTTTCCCCCACTCAAAACACAACTCACAGTATGTCTTCGAAGCCTCTAAGTGAACAAGAGTACAATATGATAGTGTCGGTGACAAGGCCCCGGCTATACCTCAAAACACAATGTGTAAAATCAAATGTCATAAGGCCCCGAAGTAGAATAGGGCTCACCGAGTCAGTTGGGAAGAGATACACCTATCAAGAACCTGAGTCACCTGCTGCAAAGCCACCTGCATCCATTAAAGATGTAGTGTCCCCGGCAAAAGGGATGTTAGTATATATGGAATAGTACTAGTATGTAAAACTAAATACTCTCTCAATGAATCGAGTAACAGTACAAGGAGAAAGAAACATGGAATCAATGAGAGCCTCAAATAATATTAAGCATCAAGTTAAGAGAAAGATAAGTTTTCGAGTAAATATCATCATTTTTAAGTTAGTATATCTTTAGCACCGATATACCACCATATGTTTTGCACGGAGTCCAATCTCGTCCCGATCGGCTAAGCCGTCTCACCCCAAGACATCCAATCACAACACCACTGTGCTTTTAGCACGGAATCCGATCTCAGCCCGATCGGCTAAGCCGTCTCACCCCAAGACATCTAATCACAACACCACCTAGCTATTAGCACGGAGTCCGATCTCGGCCCAATTGACTAAGCCGTCTCATCCAAGACATCCAATCATAATACCGCCATATGCGCGACATAGGGTCCGATCACGGCCCGATCGGCTAAGCCGTTTCACAAGGATGTCGCGTGGGTCGTCATCACCTTCCGCTAGCAATAATCTCATCCCAATTAAAGGGAATAACCTCAACACATCAATTTCATCCCAATTAAGAGGAATAACTTCAATCAACTCCTACACCGGTGCATGTAGTTTCAGGTGTGGGCCGTTACAACCCACCCTTCCTCGGCTCACTAATGATACTCCCAAAAATATATTTTTTTGTATACAAAGAAAATAGAAATATAAATGTATTCATCTCATAATCGTTCATACCATATGTAGCTTCATTAGTACATTTAACCACTCACAACATCATTATTTTATTAGCTCTCTTGGCCATACATAGCTTTATTCATGTCACGATAGCCATATTTCATATTTCACACTTTCATTTCTTTACTTTCAAGGATCGTTATCATAAACATCAACATATAAGATACTCTAAAAATCATGACTTTAAGTTCATTAGTAATGAAGGCTTTAAACACATTGGATTTCTTTCCAAAGAATAAAGCATAATGACTGACAATCGAAGCACAAGTTAAAATCATAAATAATTAATACACCATTTATTCTTGAAATACTCTTCCCAAAAAGGGCAATATACAATTTCAACTCATGAGTATGTAAGGACTCAAAACACCTTGGAAGTACTTTCAAAGGAGAGCATGATGATTTACAACTGAAACATAGATTCAAATCATATGCATTAGTTACAACAACCATATTTGAACATTTTTCCACGAAGGGGGAGCTTAATATGATAAGGGAAATTTGAACATGGCTCTAGTACATAATCATTTAGGAAAATCAATTATCGGAAGCAATTCAGAACAGTAGGAACAGGAGTTTGAACAAACCACATTTGGAACTTACGAGGAACTCATGGATTCCGATTCTTAAAAAGAAGTTTAGCCAACATACCTCGAATTCGCCCCTTAATGATACTACAATGATTCACTACACTAAAAAACTTCAATCTACAATAACAACATCTAATGGGAACAATATCAGTAACAAATTCCACAATTTAGGCACTTTTTCAAACGCCTAGTAGGTATAAATATCTACATCTCTTAACAATAGAATTTGTTCATCCAACTACCACCATTTATCAAAAATTTATCCCACTATCATCTTTAAGTAATTTATAACTTCCAACATCATATGCATGTCCAACCATCCACAACCAACAACAAAATTCCATCAAATAATCACCCTTCAATCTCTACAATGGCTAGTATTTAATTTGGAAACTTATGGCTTCCAATCACCATCCCATAAGTTCCAATACTTAATTCTTACTCATATTCCCATAATAAATCCATGCATGTAAGTCTAAGGATGTAGGATTACGTTTTCGAAAAAATCTTGCAAAATCCTCCCTTGAGTTCTTGAAGAAATTTCTTGAAAAACTAATGATTTCATGGTGGATTGAGTTAGTTCTAGTGTGAAAATAATAGGATTCACACCAAGACAATGGGTATTTCTTACCTTAAAGATCGGAGGAGTTGGGGGTCTTGAGAGAGGAGGAAAGGTCAAAAATTCGTCCAAGTGAAATGGAGAAAAAGAGCCCCCGAATTTACTTAAAAGAAACCTTAAGCTAGGCCGCGCTCAGTCTGGTGAAGTGAGCCTCACTTCGCTATCCACTACATGTAAGGAAAGACAGGATTCGCGCCCGGTCTGTCGAAGTGAGCCTTGCTTTGCTGTCTGCCAAAATAACTGGGTGGTCTGACTTTAGTAATTTGATCATAACGTTTAGTAGGAATGTCCAAATGACGAACGGCTTGATGCGTTTGAAACTAGACTCGAAGGGGTACGCTTTAGGGGCAAATTTCATGGAAAATATCTTCATATTATGAGCTTTATATCCGTTCAAGTTCAAGTGAATTAAGACATTTTTTCCTCTTGATACTTCCAACTCGTTCCAAACAACTTCTCCCAACTCATAAACCTCCTTAACATATTCTAGAACACCTTCCACAGATATTTTCATGTCAAAATTGTGTGGTTATATCCCATAGGTCTCCTTTCGTACTCAAAAACATTATTCCCAATTATCGTTGGTGCAATATAAAGTCTTAAATCCTTAGAAAATTCTACGGGGCGTTACATCCTCCCCCGCTTAGGATCATTCATCCTCGAATGAGGGTTAGAGTCTGCCATAGACACCCAACACAGCTTAACTCTTTATTCACTCACCTAAAGTTCCAAATTTGACTAACTCCCCAAATTTCCAAAATTTCGGCAGAGTCTCCCCTGTAATTGGGCCTATCCACCTGTCAGAGAACCCCAAAAATCAATCCTAGCAATATATCCATGACAGAACCACGCACCATAACATGGAAACAACATCAACCATATCATTATAAGCCTTGTATTGCACAAAAAAACGTCTTAGCATAAACTATACAGGTTTGAATACAGAGAAGGTAAACTTCTAATATTCCTTTAATCACAACTATTTGGTTACACAAATAAATGAGGGTAGTTTTTTTTCATTTCTTTCTCGGCTTCCCAGGTGGCCTCTTCGACTCATTGGTCTCGCCATATCACTTTGACGGAGGCAATCTCTTTATTCATCAACTTCCGAACTTGTCTAACAAGGAGGACAATCAAGTACCTCTTCATAGGTCCATCCTTCCTGAATTTCCAACATTCTCCACAAGGGCAATGCATGACAAATCCCCAATCACTTGCTCCCACAGGGACACATGAAACACAGGATGCATAGAGGACAACTATAGAGGTAGTTCGAGCCTATACGCCACTTCACCAACCTCCCTCCGAATTCTATAAGGCCCGATATACCTTGGTTGCAATTTACCTTTCTTAACAATTCACATAACGTCTTCATGGTGAAAATATTGAGAAGAACTCACTCACTTTCTCCAAACT